ATCACAACTATCAACGCCTCTGTTTTTTCCTAATTGTAAATTGTTTTGTTTTTTTTACTTTTTCTACAAAAAAAAAAAAAAAAACTGAAACAAAATTGTAAAATTAGTAGCAAATGGTAGCAATTTGATAAAGTAACAAGAAGAAAAATTTTTGAAACTTTTTAAAGTTTCAAAAAGCTTTTGAAATATAAAAGAAGAATTTTTGAAAAATTTGTTTGTCTTTTTCATTTAACTTTTGAAAACATTCGTTCCTTCAATATCTTTTTGTTCCTTTTTTCTTTTCTTTTTTGTTATTTCTTTCTAAAATAATAAAGATAAAAAAAGAAAATGAAAAACAATTTGTTTGCTTCTCTTCTCTCTCTCCCTCTCCCTCTCTCTCGCATTTTCCTTCTCATTCAAAATTATATTTTACATAAAATTTAATTAAATTCAATTTAAATTTTTCTTTTCCTCATTAAATCGTATAAGTAATTCTTCATCAATTTTGGAAAATTTGCAACTATTAATTGTTTCAAACTGATTAAAATATTTCAAATGATATACTATAATTCAAATCTTAAATAAATAAATAAATTCCACAGTTAGTGAAATTTAAATGAAATTTAAATTTAGAGTAAGATGAAATCATTCATATTGTAAAATTAAAATATAAAATCTTTCTTTCTTTTTTTTTTTTGTTCCTTCATTCTTTCAGTTCAATATTTTAAACAATTAATACTTGAATTAAATATAAGCTTTGATTATTGTTACTTCAAATATCATTTTTCAAAATCTTTCTGTGACATTTAATATATATATTGAAAATGCTTAAATAGACAATATTTTAGGATTAATTTAGCTAACATCAAGTATGCATCATTTAAATGATACATTTTCAAATCGTCCTTTTCATTAATTGTTATTTTATTAATTATATCACTATTGTCAACAACTTTCTCTCATTTCTTTTACACCAAAAAATGATTTCAAAAAAAAAAAAAAAAAGAAAAAAGAAAAATAATTTTAAGTCATTTTTAAACTAACACTTTATATTAAAATTTTATTATTAATTATTAAAATGTAAGTGAAAATTTTTGTTTTTTATGTAAAAATTGCATCTTTTCATTTTCGTTTCAATTTAATTCCTTTTATTTAGTTGTTTTAAAATTAAAATTTTGCACCTATATTACATATATGTGTACATATACATATATATATATATCTTATAATTAGTTTAAGTCGTTTAAATTTACTTTTTTTTTTTTTTTGATTGATTGTTTTATAAGTTTTATAAAAATTATTTCATTAAAAAATGAAAAAAGGAACTCAAAACACAAACATACATATAGAAAACAAACAAATATATTTTTCGTTGAAAAATAAAAAAAAAAAAATTCGTAACAAAATTATAATTATCACTGAAATTGTATCATTTATCAATTTAATTAAAACATAATCAAATTTTAATTGTTACATTAAATTTATGTTAGTTGTCAATTTCATTAATATTAATTTTAATCACTTATAACTTTTTAATTAGTTTATATTTGTTTTGTTTTGTTTTTTTTTTTATTAGCAATTTAACAATGTTTTGAATTGTTCATTTCTCTTACTTATCATCAAATAATATCTTTTAGCTCATCATTACTTACTTACTTACTTACATTAAATTTTAGTTCTTATTTTCCATTTCATCTCTATATATGCTCAAATATTTCCGCTCTTTGTCGTGCATCATTTTACATTTTCAATTTTCTATCATTAATTTTCCGCCTCTTTTTTATTTTATTTTATTTACAGCAATTTCATTGTGCTACATTCTTCCAATATTCGTGTGCAATTACAATTTCTAAATTAACTTTACAAGCTTTCTTTTCTTTTCTTTTTTTTTCAAAAAAGAAAAAAATACTTTTTTACTGTTTTTTTTTTTAAGCTTAAAATATAATTTTAATTTTTAATATTATCAAATATTTTGTAAAAAAAAAAAAAATTATTTATTGAAAATAATTAAAACTAGCAAATTAGGATGCAGGAAGAATTATAAAGCAAAATCGGATTAGCAAATTTTTTAATTTCATTCATAATATCGACTCTCTTTCAGAAAATTTCAAATATACGAAGTACATTTTGTCTAAGTCATTTTACTATAATTGCTTGTTTCAATTGTCATACTAATTCCCTTCTTGTGATTTCGTTTAAAAAATTTTTAACTCAACTTTAAACTATTTAGCCTTATTCTAGCAATTTTAAGAATTTTACTTTTGTGTGTTACGAAAGTAGCAGCAGCAGCAGCAGTTAAAGTTATATTTAGAAGTAAAATGGCAAATAATTCTATGCAACTAATTAATAACTTCTTCTCATATTAATTATATCTAACAAAATTGAGGACAAATTAAAATTAAACTTTTAACAACTGTTTAAGTGAGTAATTTCGAAAGTAATTGATAAGTTAACACAACACATTTCATTAAAATAATTCAACAAAAGAAAACGATAAGGAAAAGAAGTATGACATACTTTAAGTAATTAATTTCACTCATAAGAATGAGTGGATTTCAACAATTGCTCCATTTCTTCTATTTACAAAAAATGAATTTCAAAATTGTTTCATTTCTTCATAATTTGTTAATTATTACATGTGTTAAATTTTTTAAAAAAAAATTTAATTTTTTTTAAACTAAATTTTTTTTATTTTAGTTAAAAATTATTTGAAATAAATTTTAGACAATAAAATGATTTTAGAAATTTTAAGCTCATGTAATTTATAATAAATAATGCATTAATCTCCAAGAATTTTTATATATTTTCAATACGAATAAATATATTAAACATTAAATTTCATTCTTTTGTTTTTTGTTTTTTTTTTTTAATTTTTAATTTTTCAATAATTTTTATAAAAAATTGCAAAATGTACATTTGTTATATTTATCTTTTTTCTTTCATTTCTTTTCCGCTCTTTTCTCTCTCTCTCTCTCCTTCCCTCTCTTTGTCCATCATCACTGATATCATGTTACACCTTTAAACCATAATTTACTAAAGTATTCATAAGTAAACAATCCCCAAATCGTTTCAATATTTTTAAGTAATCATTTTAAAATGATAGCAGAAAAAAAAAATAGAAAATATTTTTTAGTATTAAATGAATCGATAAAGTATAAAAGAGTAAGTAACATTTGTTGTTATTAAGAAGTAACCAATAAGTTATTGAAAAGTAACAATTGTTATTATTAATTATTATCAATAGGAGAAGATAAAATATGTGCCATAAATATTTTTTTATTTATTTCTAATTTTTTATTTTTAGTAAATGATATTGTTAAAATTTTTCATTTTTAATTTAAAAAAAAAAAAAAAAAACAAAATTTGAAATAAAAATAATAAAATTTGACATTTGACAAAGACAAAAAATCAGAAAAAATTGATTTTGTTCAGTTAAAAAAAAAAAAAATCAAAAAATTTCTTTATTTTTTGCTTTTTTTTTTAAATATAAAAATTTTAGATTATCAAATTTATGAATAATTTTTTTTTTTTATTTTTTATTTGATTGATTGTTATTTGAGAAAAGCAATGCATAGCTTAGCTAAAAATGCTATTTCTTCCGAATAATTTGTCATTTTTATGGTATATAGCATAGCATTTGGCTGTTATTTTAAAATTATTTGAATGATAGCAAATAATGAATTTCATTTTCATTAATTAATTCTTTACTTTTCCGAGAAAAGACTAAACTTTTATTATGAGAAATATTTGAAATGATAAGAATTGATTAATTGGATATAGTTTGAAATGATAAGAATTGATTAATTGGAAATAGTTTGAAATGATAAGAATTGATTAATTGGAAATAGTTTGAAATGATAAGAATTGATTAATTGGAAATAGTTTGAAATGATAAGAATTGATTAATTGGATATAGTTTGAAATGATAAGAATTGATTAATTGGAAATAGTTTGAAATGATAAGAATTGACTAATTGCAAATAGTTTGAAATGAAAGAGAAAATTAACGCAGCAAAATTTTTGCTAAATTTTACAGATAAAAAGTTGCCAAAAAGAAAAAAAAAATATTTTTTAATAAATAAAAACTTTTCCTTCGCATAAAATTTTTTTTTTTATTTTTCTTAATTTTCAAAATAAACCGTTTTTATTCGTTTTTCTTTTTCATTTTCATTTAATTTTAATGATATACTAGAATAAATTGCTTGTTTCGATGTAAATAATTCATTAATGTTTTTGCCTTTTCTTCTGATAAATTTGAAATTTAAAATTGGAGCTTCAGTTTGAATTGATAATAACAAACATTAATGTTCAGTTTACAATTTTTATATTTGAAATTTCTTTTTTTTGAAAATTAAATTTATCTTTATTATAAATGAAAAAAAAATTTTTTTTTTGCGCTGGAAATTTTTCATTTTTTCTACAAAATCTTATTTTTTCGAATAAATTTATTAATAAATTTTCGTGTAATAATAATTATTATTTGCTAATAAAAAACAATTTTAATTTTATTAATGAAAGCCTTTTTTAGAGTTATATTTCTAGGATTTTTTTTATGTTAATTTTAAGAAAAGTAATTCAACGACTAGTGGATTCACTATACTTAATCAATTTATTGATGACGGGACGACTTTACTTTTTTTTTTAATCTTTTAAAAACAGTTTTAAATATTATTTTTTATTTTTAATTTCTGTTTTTAAAAATTAATTACTGAACAATTATTGCCTTTTTGACATAGTTTAGAAAAATATTTTTTTTTTTTTTGCATTTTCTCTTGACAACTTCACACCACTTTTTAGCCTTTTGAAATTAATTTAAATTTTTATTTTTTTTTTTTTTTGATCTTTTAATTCTGAATTTAAAAGCAGATTATTAGATAATTTTTATCTTCTTAGCATAATTTAGAAAAATATTTTTTTCATTTATTTTATAATAATTTCATTCCTATTTCTTTCTCTGTCTTTTGAAATCTAACAAAAATTTTTTTAATTTTTATAAATAAGACAAATTTCAGATATTTCAAATGAATTTAACATTTTTAACAGCTAAACACCTTCTCATCCTATGCTGCAATGGTGGTTTACCATTTATCGATCTTCAAACACAATCAAATCTTCGAGAAAAGCATAAATCAACCTATGCTGTTGATCCAACTGATTGGATTGCTGTTGACACGTCCGGTTTGTTTATTTGTTTATTTAATCAGTTACTTATGTATTTTGTTTATTACTTAGTTTTACTAAGTAATAAACTAATTAATACTTTGCACAATTGGTAATAAACAACACTGTTTATTAAAATGACTACAAACTGATTTTTTTTTTTTGAATAAAATTTACTTAAACTTTGATTTACTTAAAACAAATGTCCTTTCGTTTTTTTACTTCAATAATTCTTCCTATTATCCAACTTTAAAAATTAATAATGGTTTTTTCTTTTTTTTTTTTTAAATGAAAAATTATGCTATACTATTTTGTGCCAGTCAATTATTCTCATTTTAACAATATTTACAACTAGAACTAATTATATTTAAACTTTTAAAATATATGTATATGTGAATACTGATAGATAACTCTTTTTGTTTATCTAAATCAAATTTTTATTGATAATTTATACTTTTTTCTTTTGATTACTATTTAAATGAAATGAAAAAAAAAAGTTAATTTCTTTGTCTTTTTTTTTTCAATTATTTATAATTAACTTAATATTTTCATCAAATGAAATAATTCATTTTAGGTTCTGAGCTTAATTTATCACTGATTAATTCACTATCAACACTGCATATACCATCAAGAATGGAATTAAACGTTTGTGATTTATTCAATTTAACATTTTCTGATATTGAAGACGAGGAACTCTTCGAGAGCAGTAAAGGTGAAGTGAAATGCAGGTGCGATACTTTGCTGCAATATACATATTATAGTTGCAGATGAATGCTTAAATGTTGTAAACAAACTTGCAATATCATTATTGATTTCTTGCTAATTAGAAAATTTCAAAACATAACACAATGTTATCAGTGTTATCAGTGTTATCAGTTAAAATTTTATAAATGCTTAAAAAAATTCTACAATTAATAAAAAAAACTTTGAGAAGGAATAATAAAAAGAAAATAGCTACTATATATATGTGTTTGAAAATAAAATTACTATAAAAAAATTCAATTCCTCGTCTTACTTATAATAAGTAATCAATTTTTTGTTTTTTTGTTTTTATATTTTTTTTAAATTATAAAATATACTTATAATTGTATAATTGTTATTATTTTAAAATGTTTTCAAATATTTTATGTTTATGATCGTTTTGTTAATGACTCAGTGAAAATTTATTACAAATTAACACGAAAGTATAACTGTTTTCCATTTTTTTAAATAGTTATTTTAATAATTTACATATTAATTTCTTTTTTTTTTTAAACTAATACTTTCTTCTGTTTCTCTTTTTCTTTTCAAATTTTATTTTTAATTAAGTTACTTACTGTATTAAAAAAAAAATGAAAAAATGTTTTAGTTATTTAATCGAATTATTTATATTTCTTATGCTTTACTTCTTTTGCCTTGATTTTCTTTCTTTTTTTTTTCTATTTTTCATTTATTTTCTTCTTTTTTTTTTTCAAATCCAATTTTGTTACTAAGTGCAAATAATGATATCAGACGGAAAGTGAAAATTTAATTAACAAAGTATTTGTGAGTAAAACTGAAACTTTAACTGAAATTTTAAATGAGATTTTAACTCATAATTTATTATTACTGTTAATCAATTCATTGCTAAAGTTTGACTGCGAATTATATTTCATTATTGTTTACTTTTCTTGTTTAATTTTACACTGACAAAAATTTAATGAAAAAATTTACCCTAAATCTACTAATCATCTTTTTCGCACTTTTGTTTATTTTTTAAATGGTTTTTGCATGATTACAAATTATTGTCAAAAATATTTTTAATATTTTGTTCGTATTAATTTGATAAAGAAAAGAAACTAATTTCATTTTAAGGAAAAAATAATTAAATTTTTTCTAAAATTTACAGATGTCCACTACATTATGCTGGCTTATCATGTGAAATTGATGAAGCATCGAGAAATGTGAAAAGTACAAATCGAAACTTTTTTAACACAATTTCATCAGTTATACTAATTCTTATATTTGGTGCATTCTTAGTTACGGTATGCATTTTTTGACCTTTGCACTTTGATCATCAAAAAAAAAAAGATTCATTTCTGATTGTTTATGTTTACAAAATTTTAATTAATTGAAAATTATTTCCAACAATGATTTTAAGTTTTATATTTATGCATATCAATACCTGTCTGTCCTTTTTTTTTTTTTTTCATTTTTTCATTTAACTTTTATTATAAAATTTACATCATACTGAATTATTAAAAAAATAAAATACAAAAATACATAAAAATAAAATAACATATCAAGAAATAAAATATAATTCATGTTAAAAAAATATATGCATTATATTAAATTTTCAGATCCATTTAAATTTTATAATCAATTTTAAAATTTTATATTTTATAAAATTATTATACAAAATTTTATATTTTATATGATTATTATACAAAATTTTATATAATTATTAAATTTAAAATGAATACGAAAAAAAAGAAAGTAAGTAATAAGTGTGTAATTACTATTATTATAATGAAAAAGAATGAGTGAAATATAACTGAGTAATACTAATGCTAATATATTATTTCTCGATATTATATAAATGTATGTTTTTGCTCTCTAAAGTTTATATTTAGGATAAAGTTTATTAGAAAGGCTAACTCTCTGCCAGCTGTTTTCATCCTTCTGTTTCCCTTTTCAGCTTGAATTCTGCAAATGAAAGCAATTTTAAAAATCGATTTCACTTCCTTAGCCTTCGTAACTCAGTGTATTGGTTGTCTTTTCTGATGTATATAAATAAAAATAAATATGTATAATACTTTTTGTTAATAAGGCATAGATTAGGTTTAAATTTTTTTTTTTTTTTAAGATTTATAAGTATGTTATAAGCATAACTAATATATTTATGTGAGTAGGATAGTAATGAGTAAAATATATACTTTTACGAATTTATTAAATAATATTTGGATCTCTTTCCCACATATAATAATATATCATATCACATTCATTAATTGATAAAACTAAACTTTAGGCTTAGGTATATGTTTTTGTTTTTAACAAATTATAAATAGTAAAATCTATTCACATTCCATATAATTGTATGAAATGTGAAAATATTTGCATAAGTATATAATTATGGAATATTCAGTGGTCTTTTCCAATATAAATATATTTATATATTATATAATTTTAATTACTAATAAAACTAAGTAACACACTGTTATATATTAGATATAAGGTTTTTTTTAAATAGCATATAGCTATATATAAGCATAAATATTCTTATATAATTATACGGAACATAAATAAAATATTCACATGCGCATATACTTGTATAAATATATAAATTGTAAATATATAATTTTCTGATATATTATATATTTATATATCATAATATATATTTTTTAATGACATACTAGAATATTCACATGCACATGTACTTGTATAAATATATAATTTTAAACTTATATTTTTAATATAAATACTATTATATCTATATTTTTTTAATGAGGTATAAGTATAGTTGCATAATGATAGGTATATTTGTGTGTTTGTGTGTGTGTGTGTGGAATGTAAATAAGTGTAATTTAGTTATCTAAAAAGTAGGCGTTACACTGATAAAAGTATGAAATGCTAGTGGCTTTAGGCTTTAGACCTAACAATCTATGTGCCACATTAAATACACATAGACAACTTGAATAGTCGGAATTTTACATTCCTTTCAACTTAGACTTATCCATTCTGAAATGATAAATTCTCGAACATCTGTTCATTTCATTCCATTTCATTTCATTTTATTTCATAGTTTTCCTCTAATTATAATAAATCACAAAATTTTTTATCATTTTTTAGAAATTACTTTTTCTTTTCTCTGATTGCATTAATAAGTTTATTTTGAAAATGAAAATGAGAAAAAAAAATTGCAATATTAGTTATTTTTTTCTTTTTATAGAATAAAAGTTTTTTTTTTTAAAAAAAAAATTTACATAATAATTAATGAATATGGAAAAAAATTTTTTTTCGGTAAAAGTTTGTTTAGTAAAAAAAAAAAGAAAAATTAAGCAAAAATATTTTTGTTTTTTTAAATATTTCATATTGTTATCATTGCAGTGTGAATTTCATAATGTAATATTAAGGATACTGTAGCAAATGTGCGATTGATAAATGATTTCCTAAAAATCAAATAATTTAATTTTAAAGGCAAAAAATGAATTTCTAGGCTTCTTTAATACTTGGCAAAAAAAAATAGCCAAGAATTGTAATAGTATTTTATTCATGTTTGAGAATTTTTTTCTATTGACAACTTCATCCATTATGTCGCTATTTTAGCAATATTTTGACTTCAGTTTATTTCAAAACAAAAAACACAAAACAAAAAAAGCAAAAACAAAAACAAAAACAAAGGAAAAACATCAATTATAAAAATTTCTTCTTATTTTTTCAATGTAATTAAATAATTTCTTAAATAATCAACTAATCAAGTTATAAAATTAATTTAATTTTGAACTATTTCAGATTACAGTATCCCTTAGAAAGTTATTATACCGTTTTTTTCCTTTTATTTTTACTTATAAAATATAAATGAAAAAAAAAATGTTATATTATTTTACAGATAATGCGATGTGGTTTTTGTGATTGCTTTGGACCATTTTTATCACATCGTAAAAAAGATAACTTGGATTTACCATTAGATCAAAATACATTAAACAGATGTTTAGAACTTGTTCAAGCACATGAAGCTCGACAAGATAATCTCTTGAAGGTTAATTTATTTCATTTATACTTTTTTAACAAGAGAGAGGGACAGAGAGAGAGAGAGAGAGAGGGAAATGATGGAAAAGAAAGAATGATGATCTATGACAAAAAATTTTTGCAGTACCAAATGAATTTGCTAAATGGACAATTAAAAATTTTGTAATATCCAGTAATAAAATTTAATAATTTTACTAATACTTTTTTCAAATTTTCATTCTTTCATTTTATGGCTTAAAATTAAGTTATTCAGTGGTATTACTTATTTGTTTAGTATTTTTTTTATTACACTAAATAATGATTAATTCATTACTGCCAATTAATTTCATTTCCATTTCTTATTGCTCAATTTTTTTGCATTTATTTTGCATGTTTTGGTCAATAAAACTAGCATATATTATTAGATTTCTATGCTTGGCCATAACAAAATATTTTCCTTGGCCTTAAGGAAAAATCAATAGGCTCTTATCAGACTAAGCATAGCTGATGATATTTTGCCATTGGCGCAATGAGACATCAATAACTTTTTGCATTCTTTTTCCTTTTGCCATTTATCTAAGCAAGCCTAGAAGAGGAGATAGCTTTCTTTTTACCTCTCTAAAATATTTCTCATAAATATTTATGAAATTTAACAACTGATAACACTTAGCAACTGTTTAAAGCCAACTGACCATTTTAAAATTTCTTACTTTAAACAAAATCATTAACCTTGTAAATCATTAATTAAAAATGTAATTATCATCAAAAGGTAGGGAAAAATTCTGAAAAAATGCATAAAATTAAACATAATTTTTAAATGTTTTTATAGTTCTCAAAATGTTTAAATTAGTTTTCTTAAGCTTCGCAATTTAGTTAAACTTTTATATACATTACACATTTAATTATATCTATTAAATGCTTTAAAATAGTGAAATACCTGAAGCATTATCGGATATTTGATATGATTTTAGAGTTCGGAACATCAACGACCTCTCATTTCAACAGTTTATGAGACATGTGCTCCTTATCGAAATACCACAGTGTATCCGATTGAGTTATCACATAATAGAAATTATCGACTTGGTACTCCACCACCATCGTACAGGTAAGTTATGAACTGTCACAGGTAATTTCATCCTATAGTGAACTGATACTAAAATTATTGTTAGGTGTAAGTTCGGAATTATGTTGAATAATTCCAATTATTAAGAAAGTTTCTCCTCAAAGTTTCTTTAAATTGAGAAATCAGATTAATACTAGAGTATACGTTTAGATAAGATAAAGTAATCAAAGTAATTACAGAACATAATTAACTTTCTCAGTTATTAATTATTGATATCCATTAATCATTGCTTATTTTTGACTAATATAAACTGAAACGAAATTACAAATGCATTATTGAATTGAAATTAGTATTTATTGTTGATGGGATAAATTTTTGAAAATATATCTATTTTATTTTATTAACTTTCTAATTAAATATTTTTATATCCTGTCATTGTTCTGCATGGCTAAACTTGAATAAATTGGCTTCTCATTAAGGTATCTAAATTTTCCGTATGAATTAAATTTTAAAATTAAAGCATTTACCATTGAAATTTTGTATTAAAATAATTAATAATAAGGTTGAGCTAAAAATATCAATTTCAATCATTATCTTGCATATTTATTCATTTCACTAAATTTTGATTTTTTTTTTCAGGTCAGTAGAAATGCAAAAGAAACAAGATCAAATTCGAAATCTTTTAGGTGGTACAAATAATAATAATAATACAAGGATATAGCTTAGTTAATTATTTAAGGATTTATTAACTATTCATAAGTCAGAAAATAAAAACAAAATTACTAATGTTTTATCAATTTTTGAAAAGGAAAAGTTATTTCATTTAAGAAAAAGAAAGTTTACAAAATTTGAAATTTATCTCAAAAAAAAAAGTAAAACAGAAAGAAAAAAGAAAACTCATACATATACATATTTATATATACATTTTGCAGCTGTGTTAATTTCTTTATATCAATTGCATAATATTCAAATTGTATAAAAATTAAATTTGTCAATGTAAAATTGTAAACTAAATAGTCTTCTGTTCTTTCTATCTTTGTATTGAAATGAAAGAGAAAAAATATACGAAATAGATTTAGTTATGTTTCAAAAAAATTAAAATTAAATTTAGCAATTATAAAAAAAAAAAAGTTTGGGTAAATGTTGAAAATGTAATATATGAAAAGAGAAAGATAAATGGATGAATCGAGCGATAATATTTTAATTTGTTCCAAAATTATATATAAAAATTAATGGAAATATTGAAATATATTAATCAGAGAAAATGCAAGCAAAAATGGAAAGTATTTCAAGAATTAGGAAAAGAAGAAGACAAAAAGGAAGGGAAAATATTAATTTGATTAAACATTTAAAAATAAAAAATAAAAAAACGAATTGTTAAAATTAAATCTTCATGCTGCTATCTTGAATGCTAATTTTTGTTTTAAAAACAATTGTAAAATTCAATATTAGTTCTTTTCTAAATAACAATCATTTATTATCGGTTTCTTTCTTAATTTTACTAAAAAAAATTTGTAAAAATTTTTTTAATTTTACTATTATCTTTTAAATTATTTCAAAAAAACGCCTAAAATTTTGTTCAAACTGTTGAAATTTTGATTTAAATGCCATAATGAATATTGCTGATCTACTGCTTGTTTGCATTTCTTTTTTTGTAAAATTTCTTTCAATTTTTTTGAAAAATTTCATAAATTTTTTTCTGTACTAAATCACATTTTCTAATGTGAAAAAGTTATCTGAATTGCACTTCTAGTTTTTCATACATTTCAATTATCTCTTTTTCTTCTTATGTCTAAAAATATTAACAATTTTTTCTGTCTTCAAAATTTAACTCATTTTTATTGTGCTAGTTTGCAGGTTTATTTAAAAGATAATAAGCAATTTTCGAATTAAGTGAAAAAAAAATAATTTAATTTAATTTAGGCATAATACAATGTTTCATTTTAAAAAAAAAGAACAGTTATCATTTAAATGGATTTAATTGTTCAATTATTTATTTTGCTTGTTCAGTTATATTATTTCTATTTTATTTTACTACTTTTATTTCATTTTATGATAATATTTCAATATTTTTCTTTTTTTTTTTTATTTTAAATTATGTTTTATACTTCATATGTTTCATGGAATATTTTTACTAATTGCTGATTACTTCTAGTCAATTGTATAGATTTAATTTTGATTTTTTGTCTGTTTTTTCCTTTCCTTTTTTTTAATGGCTGTGAATTATGAATGTTCAAAAACCAAAATAAATAAATATTTGCTTGAATTGCAGCAATCAAATTGTTTTAAAATGAATGAATACATTTGCACATTAAAAAAAAAAGCAAATAATAATAATTTTAATAAGCAAAATTCTTGCACAGCTATGCTTGCTTAGTTAAAACATAAATTTTTTATTGCTTCTCTATTGATTTACTTATTATTTTCTTTCATTTAAAATTTTAAATTTTACAAATCCTTTCAAATTTTTACAAAATTTTTGCAAAATTTTACAAAAAATAAAAATAAAATGTTTTTCTATTACATTATATAATAGATGACCATATAGCAGCACTGAACTGCGACATGTCAACACCTAAGAAATGAAACTAAATTTTGACACTGACAAAAAAATATACCAAAATCACAATGCATATAAACAATTCATTGATCATAATAAATCCTAGCTATCAATCAGTGAATGTATCATTTGTAGTTTGATGTATACATAATTTGATATGATAATAATCACCGGAAACGAACTGCATTATACCATCATTGATTGATCGATATGAATGATTTGAAGCAAAAAAAAAAGAAAAAAAAAAAAACGACGAAAAATATTTCTAAAATTTCTGATTTTTAGTTTGCTATCTTTGATTTATCAGAGAACGAAAAAGAAAGTTGAACGAAGAGAAAATTTTATTGTGTTGATGTCTTCATTTTTACTTTTGCTTTTTCGTCTGAACTGAAATTTCTTTTATTTGTCACTTTGAATTATTCACAATGATACGATGATCGATATCGTATTTTACAAAGTAACAAATTAAACTTTTATACAACAAAATTTATTGAATTCCTCTTTTTCTTTTTTTGCTTCCTGTTTATTTAACAAAAAAAAAGTACAATTAAAAAAAAAATGTTTGATGCAATAGCTCAATAAGTTAAAATAAATAAGTGCTAAAAAAGGATTGAAAAATTATTTATTTTTGAAACAAATACACGTTAATGAAAATTTATTAATTAAAAAGTAAACTTCAATAAATAAAATAAATCCAATAAATGCTATATGGATAATAATTTTATTATCTATCTATATGATGAATAATAAAATTATTGAATGAGGAAGAGACGAAATCAAAAAATTCCATGAATTAAATTCATAGCATACAAAAATTGAATTTTAATCAAGCATTATGATTCTTTTAATTAATTCCTTTTCAACCAATCATACTTGTACAGTAATCTTTGACCTAGAGTTGAATTCTTTTTTATTATATTTCGTTCGTCCAATATTATCCTAAAAATTCTATATTTTCATTTTGATATTTTGACAGACATTATACAGATATCTTTATTATATGAAATGAATTTTGAACATTTCATCAAGTGACGCTGAATGAATTGAAATATGCATTTCGAAACTTTAGTATTTTCAAACGTACCGGAATCAATTCTGTGATAAATCATCAAAAGTTTGATTGTGAAATAAAATTTAAGAAAAAAAAAGATTAAAAGAAATATCCATGCGAATGACACCCTAATTATTACATACTTTATTTAACATACAGTTAAGTTGTCAGAAAATACAGCCACTTAATCGATGAGCAAAAATATGATTCTGAAGCTTTGAATGAGAAAATGAAATAAGAATCACTCACTTTCCAAGCTTGTGATCATCCATTTCTGTTGACGAAAGAGCGCTATGAATAAGTAATTGTGCGAATACATCACGCTTAAATATTGAAATTTTTTTCTTGATTATTTACTCTCTAATTGAAGTGATTTAAATTTAGAGCACTGATCCAGTTGATATCAAACACATCAAATTTTGATGTGTGCATGAATTGCACAACGAAAAAAAAAATGCTTTAAGAAAAAATATTTTTATATTGCCTTTATTTGCAATTTACGAAACTATTTAGGTTTGGAATGAAAGCTTTCGTATTTTTCTCTTTTCACTAATTAAAATGTCAAAATGGCGAAATTTTTATTGCATAAATCAACGATGCTACAGTATGCAGCGACTACAGTATCCAAGATGATACAGTACGCATAATGCATGATGTTGTACCGAAAACGATTATTTCATACAATCTTCCCTGCCCAACAATTAAAGTTAGCGCGGCTTAAACACTAAAAGAAGCATCAATCCTATTACCTATAGTTACACTACTACTTACTTAAGTAATTGTATTACATACAGTATCATCGCTTATACGGTAATCAACAATATATATTACAGTATACATTAATACATATATGTACATTGATAGAAACTTTATATTATAAACATATAGCTATGAACTTCTTTGATATCTCTCCCTTTTGTGTTGACAAATATTACGATGCATGTATACTACATTGATATATTAGGTATAAATTGCTAAGTTATACTGTAAATATTGCAAACTTACCTGTGCATTACTGCCACCTATGTTGTAAACATTGTGTCGTATGGGTGCTAATGTCTGAACAACTTTATGATAATCACCGCTGTAATAAAAAGTTATCGCATCACAGATAGATTTTCCGAAATTTCGAGTTCGATCGTTGTTGTCACCACTACTGTCACTGTAATAATATGATATTAATATGAAAACAGAAAAAAAATTCATAATTATATCAAATATGGAATACATTAGCATTTTTAAATTAGTCATTAGTTTTTTATATAGTATTGCTATAATAAATTTAATTCAACTTAATTTTCTTTTTTTCTTTAAGAAAAAATGAAGATTTTAATACCAAATCAATTTTTTCTTTAAAGTAATAAAATTTCGCCACAAAAAGGAAAGAAAAAACAAATAAATTTGATGCGAAAATTCTTAATGGTATTCTGACTAATGTAAAGAGCTTGACATGCATCATTAATTAATTATATATAAAAAAAAAAAAGTTAACTTTATAAAATTTGCAATGCTGTCACAGTGATCCTTTCTTATTGTCTTATCATCACAACCTTCAATAACCATACGAATATGTGCATCATTGAAAGCTAATATATGATCTAAAATTATTTCAAAAGATGGAATTTAATCAACTATAAAACTTTACCTTCTTTGTTTTACTTTTTTTTTTTCTAGTTGCTCAATTCTTTTTACATTTGCAAAGACATTTATGAAAATCAGATGATCATTTAACAATTCCATTTTAAATTGTCTAATCAAATAATATTTCAGATAGCAAAAAATTTTTAACTTTTTTGACATTTCAAGGAAAAAAAAAATTTAAGAATCATCAAAAAAATGTCAACAACATTTTGGTTTATTGAAATTAATTGAACATATGTACAAAGCTGCTTATATATTTCAGGATTTATTCAAATTAATTATAGAAGATAATTTTTTCTACTCAAATTACTTATAAAAACTATAAAATCTACCGTTTAGATGCGATTTAACAACTGGTAGAAGAGCTTTCCAACGATCACCAACTGATATACCTTCCATTTCGAAGCGAAGAAGAATTGAAGATGCATCAACAATATCCAGCATCGCACCACTTTTTGTACGATTTCCA